AGAGAGAGAGAGAGAAATTGTAGCGGCATAATGTGATATTACTTACGTGATAACTCATCATTCGCGCTATCGGGAAATTTCTATCGTTAGAAATATCCGATTATCAATATTGCGAAAAGTAGCGTCGACCAGAGGTAGAATTGTTTTTCGAAGGTAAACTCGGCGCGAACGAGGCGAGCCGATCTCTTTGACTTCGGAATGTCCATGGCGTGTTTATCTCGCGTGACTAGTTTTCCCGATATCGAATACCCATCAGCTGGCGTTTCTCGTATTGCGCAAGTATGTGTTGCAACAATGAGTCGAACTTACAACTTCACTTCGAATGACTAGCAATTGTCTCGAAAAGATTTTCTGAATCTTTATGAAAGATTTCATATACACCGTTCCCGCGATTGCATCTTGCAAATGTACCTCCGTGTTTCGATCGAAAGATCAATGATAGGAGCCTTTTAGCCTTGTAACCGCATACCTCTGTCGCTCCTCGAAAGCTTCTGTGTGTCGCCTATCAATCGTGAATTTTACGGCCGACGATTCCGAAATACGCGGCTGGAAATTTCGATTCGTTTCAGCGCCCGATTCCGCCGATTCAAGCACGTCGCACACGCTCATTAGAGCGACCTGAATGCCGCGATTCGTTTTCAAATAGCGGCTTGGCTGTGTCGAATACATTCGCGAGGGCGGCTCGTCCAAGGCGCATTTCTTCGCGCGGCGGCCGGAAATGGCGAATTAGGAATTCTCCGCAGCGGAGCGGAGCGCGCAGTGCGGACCCGAGCGGATTCTACATCGCGGGGGCGGACATAATGGTTCACATGTGGGTAAACACAGTGACGGGTTGCGGGTTGCCGCGCGAAGAGATTAATGGCCTTCAGTTTGGTCCCCCGGTGGACCGGGCCGACGCCGTTGGTATTGGTATTGGGCACCCCGGGCTGGACCGGGCTGCTTGCCCGTGAGCTTGCCGCGGGCGTGTAGGTGTATGCACGTTGAGCGAGGAGCACGAATCTGTGAGAGGAACACGTAATTGTATGCGTGCGCGCGTACGAGAGGGAGAGGGTGCGCCCGGGCTGAGTAGCCATCTGTAGAACCATATCCACTCCGTGCCACAGAGTCTATATATGTATGTATGTATGTATGTATGTATGTATATATGTATATATATATATATATATATACATACACACATATATATACACACATATACATATATACATGTATATATATTGTGAATGTATATAGATACACATGAGAGAACGCTGGTTCGAGATACGGTGGTGTATCGGCGCCCGCGGCGAGACGAATGGTACGGACCCTCCTATGGCCACCATTACCCCACCGCACATTGGCCAATGTCGGATATCTTTCTCTCACATACACACAATACACACACTCTCTCTCTCTCTCTCTCTCTATCTATCTATCTATCTATCTATCTATCTATCTATCTATCTATCTATCTATCTATCTATTATATCTCCTTCTTCGTCGCGATCTCTCTTCCAGGACACCCTAGATCCTGTCATGCTACGTCACGCGCTCTGCAATAGCTCGTAATTTCAAAAGACCGAGACTCGAGCGGAGAAGAGTAGTCCGATGATACGGCTGGAAAAAATTGACGAGAATCGATGGAAGTTTGATTTGCCACGCCAGTTCTTCTGCATGAAATTACGCGAAAGCATAGACGCTGGCGCCTCGTACATCTAAAATTTTTATAATTCTCTTCTTCCTATATAAATAGTGGGAACGTTTATCGACACTTCGGCGAATATACTTGTACACGCCTTCACTCGCACACGCATGCCGGTGACCTTTAGAAATTCAAAGGGGAGCTTTTGGCGCGCTCATGAATTTCTACACCAAGTCGTTGAGGAAGATAGGTCACACGAACTGTCAGCCGCCTATGCAGCGAGGGTTGAAATATTCGTATTCAAGTAGAATATATATTCAAACTCTTGGGCTTTTGGAACCCGGCTATTGTTACGTAAAGTTAGACACAGGCAAGTTCAGTCTGTCTTGTAAATCACCGAGAAATGTAACATCGAAATAGAAAAATTATTATTTGCTTATAACTTGTACACGAATAATAGTCCGGGTAAGGCCAAGTGCAATATAATTTAGTTATTCAATTTAAACACAGAATCCGCCTGCGCGGCGCGAAGATTACGAGATTAACGTCTGATAAAAGAGGGTCAAAAGTTAAAGAGCCACTTGTGGACTCGACGGTGGTATCTATTTAGTTGGCCCATAAGGTTCCTTTTATAAGGGGGTGCTTGCGCCCTAAACCGAAATTCTCTTCCCTCTCTCTCTCTCTC